GGGGGCCTCTAAAAGCAGGAAAGTGTAAGAAATAGAATTCTCTCCTAGAGATCCAGAAGGAACATAGTCCCTCCTATGTCTTAATTTTAGCCCAGCAGACTTATTTTGGACTTTTGGCCTCCACAACTGTAGATAATAAATCTGTGTTGTTTAAAACTGCCAAGTTTGTGATAATTTGTTAGAAACAACAGGAAAGATACAATAACCAATTCAACCTCAGCATGAAGAAAGCCCTTGACTGAAAATCACATTGGACATTTACACTCTCTGCTAAAATGTGGGACATGTCTTCATACTTGGGGTCAGGTAGATCTCTCTCTTTATAACAGTTTTTCTAGATGGGGGTGCACCATGCTTTAGTCTTACTTCCCATGGTTCCTTATTCTTTCTCCTCAAACACTTAGAGATCATTAGGGATACAGTAATTTGTTGATCAATCAATTGCTGAATTTTGTGTCTATTTCTGTTCAGATAGTTAATTAAAAACACTCAGTATTAGGTGNGTAATTTGTTGATCAATCAATTGCTGAATTTTGTGTCTATTTCTGTTCAGTTAATTAAAAACACTCAGTATTAGGTACTTTAAATGTAACAGTGCATTAGTAGTAAGAGCTTGAGAGTCACACAGACTGGATCAAATCACAACTCCACCCCTGATTGAGAGAGTGACATTAGGCAGTTTAAAATACCTGAACCTCAGTTTCCTCATCTGTAAAAAGGAATAGTAATGTTGCAGGTCAGGATCCCCAGAATCACACACTGAGATGAAGATTGTGTGCAAGTGATTTATTAAGGAAATGCTTCCAGGAAAAAATACATAAGTTACCAGAGTAAGCAAGATATGGGAGGAAGTGATTTCAGGCAAAATCTTAGCATCAGCATGACCCTGCAGGGGAGCTTTGGGGTATAAATTACATCTAAGATTTTCTTACTACCAGAGGCAACAGGGCTGGGCTTTTATACTCCATAGGGCAGTCCTTGGGAAAGGTGCACAGGGAGAAAAGTTAACTCCCAGGTGGTTCTCTCTGATTCTCTGTGCCTGAAGGCAAAGTGAGTCAAGGAGCCTGTGGGCAGTATTCCAAACAGAGTAGCAGGGGATAGCAGTGAGAAATAAAAGAACACAGAAGCTGGGGGAAGGACACTCAGACCCAATCTAAGGGACCCAAGGGGATGAAGTGGAATTTCCCACAAGCATCCGCCTCACAGAACACTTGTAAAGACTGAATACACTCATGCTTTTCTTCCTTGAGCTCTTAAGATTCCTAAACTATTTTTCTTTTGGAATAGCATGAACTATCTGGTGCCATGCTCTGCACATAGAGTGCTCAGCAATGAAATAATTCTTTCTTGACCCAGGCATCAAACCCAGAAAGGGTAAAGGAGACAAAACCAAAGCAAGTACGAAGGATACCAGAAGAGAAAACAATCAAATTAGTCTGAAATTAGCATTTCAAAATGTTTGCAATTTTATTTGTATTTTTCATAGAGCTGGAAACTTGAACTATTTGAGACTAGAAACTATTTGTTTTTACCTCTGAAAAGCTAGGCAAAGTCAACCTAGCAAGCAATCAATAATATTTTTTATTTGATGACAATAAATCTTAGGAAAAAAATGCTGTTTTTACCCCCAGGAAACAATCTAAGTACCAGAATGCATGTAACTTTTTTCTTAAAGAAAATATGTCCATCTTCTTCCTTTCTACTCTGTTTCTCTACGGATAATTAACAACTTTAATTGTGATAGCATTTTAGTTTTAAAGTGCTTTCAAATTTTACATGATGCTCACAAAACCTTGTCATATGTAGTCACACCCTTTTTACAAACGAGGGAACAAACTCTGGGAGTTAAAGTGGCTTAGTCAAGGTTGTACAGCTAAGGACAGGAGGACAACTTCTGACTCCTGGGATAGCGCTCTAGCTCTACTCATGGTTCTACATGATCTCTTTAGCTTTGTATCAGCCAAGGCCTAGTCAAGAGACAAAATTCACACCATAACTGGAACAGGAGAAACTTAATATAAAGAATTATTAGCTAGCAGAAGGGGAGTGAGTACTAAGGGAAGAGATCACTGAAGAATACAGCAATATCGGATTTAGGGTGCAGCCACCAACTCTAGGGCTGTGGGATAACACAGAATCCCCAGTCCCTATCCATGTCCTCTACCCTACAAAGCCTGAGAGACCTCAAAGGAGATAATCTGCCTGTGGCTCACTTGGTGGACAAGAAATTTGTTGACATGTCACAGACTGGGCTGGTGAGGAAACTACCAGCTGGGGAGCCAGAGAAACTTGCTAGGAAGCTATGCACTGGGGCTCCAGCAAGGCTTACTAGGGAGTCACATGCTAGGGAACCGGCGAAATTTACTGGAGGGTGTGAGACACTGGTTGCTTGCATATCACTGGCTAGAAAGCCACCCACTGACCTGTACACCATAGAAGAAGCACTGGAACCAAGAAGTCCCCTTTTTATGTAGTGTCCTTCTAGCACCTTCTACTGACAAGTCCTAACACTGTACCAACTAACAACAAAGAAATGTTTATAGGTTCTAGTTCTAATATCACAACGTAAGGCAAAGAAGATGAATTAGGAGCTGAGAAGCACTCAATTAGCTGACACACACCTCTTCAATGGCTCTCCTGAGTTCTCAAGGGTAAAATGCTTTTATTCTAATCTCTTGCTCCGTTTGTTTCCATTTTTCCTAATTATTCCTACAATAAAATGCAGGCTAAACCTTTGGGGACACTATGTACTGATGACTGGTATGACACACTGTAAATGTAGGGGGAGAGAGACAATACAGTGATTGAGACCAGGTCTGGAGCCAAAAAACTTGGGTCATTCACTAAAACTGCAGGGTTGCAAAAGTTAATTTCTCTATTCCTCAATTTTCTTATCTGTCAAAGGGGATAATAGTGCCTACTTTATTAAGATGTCAGGAGAAATAAATTAATATATGTAAAGCCTATAGGAGAACATCTAGCATGTAGTTAGAACTTGATAAATATTAGTATTGCCCATACACGTTAGTCTGTAATTGGTGTTGAAAAGTAAATAGTTCTCATTATCAATTTCCACTTAGGAATGTCTCATAATGCTAAAAGCCAATTTTTTGGGGAGGTGAGATTGGGCTATGCTAGAAAAAGCCTTGCCTACTCCTGGGCATTGCCTGCAGCTCTGGTTTCCGATCCTGGCACTGTTCCTGGCTCACTGAATAATCCTCATCAGTCGCAGCCAACTCATTGGGGATCCGGTTTCCCAAGTGAAAAAAGACACATGGTTAAACAAATCATCTTTCTTTCAGGTCTGACTAAATTTGATTCTCTTTTCCCCCAAATAATGAGTTATACCTGAGAGGGAAAAAGGAAGGAAATTATCATTTCAAGTGCTACCCACCTAAGTCAGGCAAGCAGTTTGCATACATTAACCTGCTCTCACCCTCATCACAGGCCCAGCGGATTAGTGCGTCTAAGCCTGTTTAACAAACAAGGAGACTGATGCTCAGGAAGGTCAAACGAGATACTTAAGAGCACACTCTTGGTAAGTAGCAGCGCCTGAATTCAAACCTGGCCTTTCTGTTTGGGTTGACAACACATTAACTGTACCGCTTGCCTCCCACACTGTCTTCATCTCAGACGTCAAGATCCCTCAGTACTCAGTGCTTTCCATGCTTTG